GGGGGGGGGGGGGGGGGGGGGGTTCTTTAATCTGGCCATGGGTTTATTTCTGCATCTTATGGCTGTTCTCTGCGGCCCCAATGCAATCCAATGGCTTGTGAAAACTGGGAGCTTCAGCCAAAGGCCAAACCTCTTTCCAGATACTCACCTGTCACCTTCAGGAATGGCTCGGGGTAGTTGTCTTTAAAGGTAAATTTTGCTCTGTATCCTTTTTCCATTCTGAAAACGTAGCTCCCTGAATCATTTTTTTCGGCAGTGAAGATGAGGAGGGAACAGTTTCCTTCTTTCAGATTCCCAATGAGATGAAAGCGATTGACAGCAAAGCTTGCTACCATTTCATCACTGTTGGTGGCCACTAAAGGAAGCTCCCCAGGAAAGCCTCTTTTCCCAAACCAAAATCCATACAATGTTGCAGTCTGGCTGGCATCTGATGGGTCATAAGTGAAATTGCAGGGGATAATAGTGCAGAGCCCTTCCTCTACGACCACATTGGCAGGAGCACTCAGGTCATATCCTGGGAGTCTAAGAGGTGACGCACCTGCAAAGAGTGGAAGAGAAGAAGCTCAACTACCCAAGTAATGGGCATCCCATCCCACTTCATCACTGGAAAGATGAACTAATCCGAGCCAGCTTGAGTGGCTTCTAGTGCTTGAGGCCCCAGGCTAGAAAGCAGGAGACGGTAAGTTCGAGTCCTGCATCAGGCATGAAAGCCGGCTGGGTGACTTTGGGCCCGGCACTCTCTCTCAGCCCAACGCACCTCCCAGGGTTGTTGTGGTGGTGAAAATAGGAGGAGGAAGGAGTATTAGGTATGTTTGCCGCCCTGAGTTTTTTATAAAAATAAGAAAGGCGGAATAAAAAAAAACTAAAAAAAAAAAAATTAATCCAGGGCTGCCTCTAACCTTCCCAGCAGCTCTTACCTTCCCAGAACAGCAGTGTTGAAATTAGCTCAAGGATCAAGACCTGAAGGGGACAGTCCATTTTCTCCGTCCGTCCCTGAAACTGCACCTCTTCGGCACTTTGTGGTCAGCAACAGGATCCCAAGCAGCCTAAGGGGGCAAACCTGGGTACAGAAAGCGAGATGAGGAGCTCTCTCTGGGTAGAGTGTTGAAGCCAGGGCATTAGCAGACTGTGGCTACTCAGAACAAAACTTTGGAGCAAAGACTTTGGAGTTTCGTTTATGTAATTTCTTTTTTTTTTTCTCCAAATAAAGTAGATCAGAACAGATACCTACTGCAGTGCAGAGAGACATTCTGGATCCAGCAGAACTAACCAAAGGTGGGAAAGGGTGGGATAAAGCGTTTTGAGGAGGAGAAGCTCTTAATACCTGGAATGGCCACCAAAAGACCACCATTAAGGGATCTGAGGCTTGCTGAGGATCAGTCGATCTTGCCTTAGAATGTGTAAGACTTTCTTCAGCAATCCAAGTTTGTTACTATGAAGTTTGGGATCAGATTAGAAGTTTCTTTCATTGCATGATTATCACCACTGTCAGCTGTTTGTTTGTGTTTGGGCCACCTTCCCGCCTTCAACCAATTCCTTCTGAAAGTAAGAGAGCTGATTTAATGGTGCCCAATTAAGCAACTCATCTAAGAGACTCTTCATGCTCAAGGACTTTCAGAGAGGTGCAACTAACACCAAATGCAAATCTTTACTCTGCTTCCAATATGCAGACGGTGGATTCCATTTTTATGTAGCCAGAATGAGAGCTTCTGGTCACAAGAGGAAAAGCATAAGGGACTTTAGGGGGAATTCCATAGTTGCCTCAAAGACTGAGTGTGCAGAATCACCTCCGAATGCCTTTGAAGGGGTGAACAAAGGGGGGATAAGGAACTTGACTGGATGGATTTCTGAACAGCGGCTGACCACTATTAGGCTTTTTCTTCCAAATCCCACCATTTAAGTTAGATCTCAGACAATTCCATTCTTCTCTCCCGCTTACCCCCTTTATATGATAGGAACTGTTGCTAAAGTAGGGAATTGAGGTGTAGATGGCCACGATGAAGACTGCCCTGTGTCCACATCTGCTGCACAGTGTCTAAATTTTGTGGAGTGACTCAGGAAACAAGCCCAGGAGAAACCTGTAGTTCTCAAAGAGCTCTTTCGACTCTTACTTCTTTAGAACTGGGGACAGAACTAAATGTGTGATTTAGGAATGATAAATGATACAAGGTTGACAATGGCAGATGAGGTATCATCTATCCCATTTACAAATGGTAGGAAGACCCTTGTTGGTTCATGCCACGAGCCTCATCCAGATTCCAGAGGAGTCCCGCAGGGGAATCAGGAAGCCAGCAGGCAAGCCGTGAGGGTCATAATCCTTCCTTGCTTTTAGTCCCCAGCTACTGATCCTAACTTAACCCGTCATATCAGAAGTCAAATGGTGGTTTTCATTAGTAGCTTTCTCCTTCACGAGTTTGTCTAACCCCTTTTAAAACTGCCCTCTTGGGTCAAGGGTGAAGGATCTGTGGACCTCGTCACTGCAGACCTGCAACTCCCCACATACTTTATCTCTAGGGCAGCTGATATTTGTGGTTCACCAACATCTGGTGCAATCTTGCAACACTGAATCCAAAAATGTGAGTCCATACTTTGTGATGGACTGCTTGGTTTTGTCACCTTGAACCATTCAGCTTCCTTTCTCTCTAGTCACCACGATAAATGTTATGAACCTCTACCGTTTCAGTCAGATGCGTCCATGCGCAGACCCTGCTGAATAAACTCAGAATCTCCCAGCGCTACCATGTTGCAAGCTGCTCTCAGATGTTTTGGTGTCATAACCATCAAACTTCCTGAACACAATTTCTCTTTTTTGAGGAGGAGGAGAAGGAGGAGGAGGAGCAGAGTCACTGGTGGTCATTGTAATATGCCATAAAACAAAGATCAATCAAATTATGATGATTTAGATTTTTTTTAAAGCCGATTGCTATTCTAAACATACCTACTTGGATGAAAAACCCACTGTCTTTGGCTTGCTCCCTGGCAAACGTGCTGGATGCAGGCCAAGCCCCAGTGAACGTAGAGGCATGCGCTCTGCGTTCACACACTGCAAGGGAGAACTTGACTTGTTCTTGTGTTGAAGTTCCTTACGATGTTACAAATTGGGTGTCTGTTTGGGGGAGGCATTTCCTGTACGTATGCCCAGATTTCATAAGTGGTTTGAAAATTTCTTTAAAGGAACAAAGCTTGCCCTCTTTGTTGCAACTTATATTGTTACATATTCTAATCGTATTATATATAAACATTCTAAATATATAATTTATAACATACCAGTCTTATAAGCGTACATGCTGGGTGAGGGTGAAAAATAAAGCATGACTTATTTGGGGTCCTTTCTATGTACATGAAGAGAGAGAGTGAGAGAGAGTTCTTTTTTCAAAG